TCTCGGCATGTTTGAGGTCTTTAGTAGCTCCAGCCCAACCAGTTGGGTTGTCACAGGCATTATGCCGCTCGCATCCAGCAGGATTCGCGGCTTCTTGTGCGGCACTATAGACCCGAAACCCACAACTTGAACCCTGAAGCACAGAATTATTTCTGCTTATGTCATTGCAGGCCGTATCAATGATTCCAGAACCCGAAGAGCCTCAAGTCCAAGCCCCAAGTCCGACAGCCACTCCGTTGAAATGTCACACTGCGACACATGTAGCTGGCACGTGCCCAGGGTTGCTAAATGCAAGGATCCCAGCTCTGCGTTGGGATTCAGGCATACTCGTAGAACAAACCAAGGTTTCACTACCACATCCTTGAGAGCGAGAAGTACAGCATGTTCAAGGTCGGATGTGGGAGCCGGTCGTGCCGTGAGCCTGCAGATTCGCACCATTGATGGTCCTTAGTCAGGAATGTTTTGCGTTTTCCAGGCAAAGGGTCTTGGGTTACATGACAACCGTATTTTGGAGGTGCCTTGCGTTAGAAGCATTCCATGCAGATGGTTTCTATATCGCCATGACGAAACCAATCCAGTTGTGATTTCAAATCTTCCTACACCCCTCGCTGCAGGCCGGAAGCATCACAGCCTGACAGCTTCAGTCAGACCTTCTATCACCACTTAGTCACGTAGCCCCAAGAAGGGCCCGTGAACACATCGGTTAGGTGATGAGCTTCGATGCCGACACTTTCGTCGAGTTGGTGGGGCCCTGCTTCGAGTTTTCGTTGTGGGGGGGGGGGGGGGGGGGGNNGGCGGGTGTTGAGCACTTTGGGTTCCGCGGCCGTACCAAACCAAAGAACATTATGATTACAACCCAATTTAATTGTTTAGACATCCGCGGACAGATTGAAGTAGTCTTCGCCAAAGACGATGGGCCAAATTGGGTCGAATATCTAGTTTAATTAATCCATTCGCAGTTGAAATATATAAGTGAGCCATTTCGACCCTGTGCCAGACTGCATACTAGGTCCTACTGTTGCCTTCTCATGTTGCGCTCCTGCCTTGAATTCAGTAATCTTGGCTCGTGTGCACGGCAGGCGCCTAAGATTTTAGAGTTTATGGAATCCTCGGCTGAGCAGGTGTGTGATTTTTGCACCCAATGGTTGCTTACTGAATCCGACACAGCCGCAGGCAATCGACTATTGCCATCGCAATGGTATCAAAGGCGTCTTTGGTTTTGCCCTTGGACAGCAACGGCTTGTTCAGCAGCAGTAGCAATCTGGAGTTGACAAGAGGACTCGCTGGCCAGCTTTTGCTGTAGGTTAAAACAGGATTTGGAGCAGAAACTGCCCGAATGCTTGCCTAGATCATCAGTCGCATATCATCATTCACGCAAGGTAAATATCTGCACTGGGGTGATATCTGCTGTCCCAGAGTCCATGAAGCTATATTTCACTTGCATGGCCAGCCGGCTTCTTTCGTATCACCTCTATGGCGGGAGCTCTCTCTCTCTCTCTCGCACGCTCTCTCGCAGCACCACGCGGCTGCCAACTGGACTCGGGACTGTCGGGACTGCCGCTCTGCTCTGCCCCGCCCGGCCTGTCGCTTCCCCGAGGATTGCTTCCCGAGCCTCATCGCCTCGGTGATCAACACGTCCTTATGCCTACCAGGCAACGGCCAAGGATGGTCCAGTATGGTTTATATCCTTTTTGGAGGTTCCGGTATGGTTTACGAGGGTTCAGGTCCTATTCGACCATAGGAGGCCTCATCTCACGATTGTTGCCGGTGTAACTTCCAGGCTTGGAGAGGCCAGGCCTTGAGGTCGCTTTGGGGAACGGGCTCTGAGGCTCGACAATGAATTCACGACTTCATTGGCGCACAGAGTTCCGGGATCGAGGAGGGGCTTCGGTTGCCGCCGAGCGAGCACGATCTGCCACGCGCAGGCCCGTCTTTCCAGAGCGTCTTTCATTGCATCAGCAAGTACTACATGAGGCTGGACCCGCTTGAACCCGCCTAAAACCCTTGGATTGTGTGAACCAAGAACCATGTCAGGGCCTTCAGTGTTCTTCCGCTTCTGGGATATTCGAGCATGCTCCGAATCTGCTGCCGACGTCTGTCCTGTTGATGTAACTAGTCTGCATCGCCCGACACGAAACTCGCGAAACTTGCTGCCTTGGGAATCTTCGACCTCAAGCCGCCTCAATGCATGGGCCTCGTGGGACGATGCGAGAGAGGAGGAAGGATCAAATCCAGGCAACTCGGGCCACTCAAACCCAAGCATTCCGGTACGCTGATGAAACATTCCTTGAACTCTTCCAGAATTTAAGTCGACGCATGGCACCTGCCAAGAATCCCGCAGGAAGGCACTCAGCCCGGAAGTGCCAATGACAAAAGTGGATCCACGGACGCCGCCCCCGGCGCCTGAGACGCGAGGGCCCCGTGCGTCGGATTGGATTTGCTGAAAAATTCAATTCAAGCAAAGACGTCTTCTCAGATAGGTGTGTTGGAAAGGCCTTGTGTGCTGAGGTTTAGTGAGGCTCTTTCGGCTTGGGCGGAGGGACTGGTCTCCGCGGCCCAAGAGCCTGCCGTAGTCACATAGACTACATTGAGATATGACGGGGTTTCGGGTCCACCTTTTCTTAAGGTCCCCGATGGCGACCAGTGCCCAGTGTGCCGCAATTTTATGTTCCCAAGCCTCGTTCTCCTTCCCCAACGACTGAACCCGAAAAAAGCAAGCATTGAAACCTGACAATTGCAAACTCCAAAGCTCTCCAATACGCCCCGAAGCCATGCACGAGGGTTTTCAGTGTGCCAAGGTACCCCGTGATCCTCAAGGACTCGGCTACACCCAGAAATAGACAGTACCAATGCAGTGTTTAGCCTTTGATGCGAAAATTTCTACTGTATTGTACTCGAGACCCTGTGACGTTTACAGCCGGACCCGAAAAAGAGCCATGCAACAGTGATTAGACGTGTGCAGGGATGGTGCTGACTTTCAATGAAGGCTTCTACTGCAGAGTTTATTTCTTTACAGGTGCGAGTTCGGAGGTTGCCGGCCCCAAAGAATTTGATTCGTACACCCAGAATCATAAGCTCCGACTCACGTAGCCATGCAGGAGATCGACTGCCAGTTCTATGTCGGCACCTGGGCCCTTCGGCTGAGTGCGCATTTTGGGGTTAAAGCTTCGCGGTTGATTCGAAGGTCTGCGATCGGTTACCCTCATCAATGGCCCTTGCACAGGATCACCCGGCCACAGCAGTCTGCGTAATCCCCAGACATCTGCTTCCCAGGTTGTACATGACGCACAAGAGTGGCAAGATCTGATGAAGCTTGGCTTTCTCTCACCCTGCAGTACCGGCAGTAGGAGAAGGCCTGACTAGCATCAACCACCTGCTGCTTCTGCTTCTTCTGCTCTGCCGCCTCCGCCACCACTAAAGCCATGCCGACTGCTACTGCTACTGCTACTGCTGCTACCGTCGCCACGGCCGTCGCCACCGCCCCCACCACCGCCGCCACCACCACCACCACCACCGCCACCACCACCACCGCCACCACCACCACCACCGCCACCACCACCACCACCACCACCACCACTTCTGCCACCACTACTACCACCACCACCACCATCACCAATAATAATGCTACTGCTACTGCTACGCTAGTGCTAG